CACAAATTTTTAGTGTCCATTTTATCCAGTAATGATGATTATACTTAGAATAGGAAGGGAAAACAATATTCTCTAAATCTTCAACTTTAATATTTGACTTTTGAGATTTTGAAATCTCCTTTGCATTAAAACCAAATGTGATGCCAGATGTGTAATTCCAGCAAAAGGTTCACCGAGAGTTTAAGGCCAGCCTGGGAATTCAAGGCCAATCTGTTCTGCGTAGGGAAGTGATAGTGAACCTTTTAGATACAAACGTTTAAACTGCAACCCCAAACCCACTTACTTTTCACAAAATGCCAACACTGTAATTAAATCTGAATATTGGTTTAGTTTAGGTAAATGAACACATACATTAACATCATTTGCCTTAAAAAAACAAAAAACAAAGAATACATGTGCTATAGGTTTACTACCACTGGGAGATCCTGTCTTTTTTTTTTTTAATCTTTTTCCTTTTCATCGGTACCAGGGATCGAACTCACGACTGCCTGCTTGCAAGGCAGGCGCTTATGATGCTGAGCTAAATCCCCAGCCCTGATCCTGTCTTTAAACAAAACAAAGCAACGCCAAATGTGTTACATTTCATATCTAATCTTAAACTTAATGTCAGAAACAATTTTAAATAAGTTTTAAACCCCACAAAACATCTATGTCTAACATCAGAACATAATATATGTATTTAATTTATACCCTGCATGAAGAATATGGATTTTGGAATGAAAAAATCCTAACTTGGACCTTTATAAATAATAATGGAAATTCTAATTTAGCAATTTTTATTTAAATTAGATTTACTTGCCAAAATTCAAACTCAGATGTGCAACCTAAAAAAATTGGTTTTTCCTTTTATACCATGCTATCTTGAGTGTGCTTGACACAGATCAACTCGTTCTAATTTGTGTTTGTGTGTGTGCGTGTGTGTGTGTGTGTATGCTTGAGCCATAAAATTGGAAACTTAGGAGTCTTGTATTTTAGCATTTCTTGTGTCCCATAAATTATGCTTTTTAAAAATCTGTTTATATGCATATACTCATAACTCCTGCCTTCCTTTTCTATTCTTAGATTTTAAGCGTAATGATAATCTGGAAAGATGCATCCTAACAAGTAGTAGGTTTGTAGAAGCCAGCATATTAGTATCTTCCACATGCTATTTCTTTTCTTTACAGTAATTAGGCTGTTCATTACTGAAGACCCAACAAAGTACAATCTTTTACTTTTTATTTGTTCTCACCTTTTTAGTTTTTAATATTTTTAGTTACAGCTGTGTTACAAATCTATGCACTATGGGATGAACTAATTTGAGCGTAGCAAGCACCTTTTAAATATAGTTTTTGGTAACTGTCTCATTTCTCTTGGTGTATTGCCAAAAAGATAAAGGTATTTCACACCTTTCTTAGGTTTGAAGATTTTAGTCTCTAGTCCTTTCTTATTTTTAAGCTAACAGAACTTTCCTTTGGATACTGAATATAGGCAAGAATCCTTTTAAGCAGACGTTTCAAAAATTGTATTTCAGAAGCTTTTTATTTCTGTTTGTGTATATTTTAATTCTTAAATTCTTATGTAAAAGCTGTTACTTAGATTTGACATATTTTTAGACACTCATCAATTGTCATTTCATTTCTTAAAAATCCTTTTAAGGAAATGTGACTAATATTAATGTCATCATTATCAGGAAATAGCATAATATCTGTATAATTTTTGAGATACACTGAAATTTTTTCAGGTCTGTTTTTCATAGCATAACAAAGCTATTTACTATGTATAGTAAGGAAGAATTTTTCCTGTTTCTAGCATAATAGAGCTAGTTACTTGATTTGAACTGGAAGAGCTGGCAAGACAGAAAAGTTGACCTGCGAGACAATTTTTAATGTTTTAACACATAATTGTAAGGATCACAGAACAATTATAATTTTTCATAGATTTTCTTGCCATATTATAGATGGTACTCAGGGCTTCACACTAAGCTAACCTCAGACCCTTTTTTAATATTTTATTTTGAGATAGAATCTCACTAAGTTGCAAAGAATAGGTTCAAACTTTCAATCTTCCCATCTCAGCCTCCAGTCATGCTAGGATTACAGGTGTTCCCACCATACCTACATAATTTTTTTACAGATTATTAAGACAATTGTATACAGTTTCAGTTTGCACATTTTAACAGTCTTACACCACTGTTAGTAAAGACTACCTATGTGTAAAATATTGTTGAATTTTGAAGATGTAAATAATAAATGTAAACAAAAATATATAAAACATATATCTCTGTATATTTTCTTTTATATTTTGTCTTATTTGTATTTTTTACCCTAATTGAATACTATAACTAACAAGAAAAATTTGTGTTCTTTTATCTTCTGACTTTCATTTCTAATTACTTAAGAACTTGCCTCGTTATCCGCACTGTTTGTCATGGGAAGTTATCTGTAGTCCTCTATAGATACAAATATGGAAGGACAGGACGACAATTGTTTGAGATGACAGAACTGTTTCATATGCTGTGTTTGATGATGATTATACAAATCTATATATGTCAAATATCACAGACTTTTAAATTTTGCTGTGATACTGACATTTAATTTGACAATTTTAACTGTTTTTACAATTCTTGAAAGATTAGAATTTTCTAATAAATCAGTAAGTACTCACTGAGTACAGTGTTGAAAGCATTGTCCTAGGTGCTGAGGAAGATACAACATACAAAGCACCTATTTCTGCCCTATAGTACTCTATTAGTCTCATAAGATAAGGATAGGTAACAAAAATGACAGCAGTCAGTTAAATTGTGATTGTTTCTCAAGGGAAATACAAAAATGTTAGATTTTCTAGGAATGTGCAAGACGATGATTCCTCCTTCAGAGCTGGCATTTGAGTTGAAATTTGGAAAATACATTGATTTTTGGCAGTCAAAAATAGATATTCTGATAAGAAATATAACATGAGGTAAGATTAATAATAACAATGAAAATAGGGGAAGGAGATTTTAAGGGAGGAAGGAAAAAGGCAGAGGAAAACGGTAGGGGTTTAAAAACAAAGAGCCAAGTTTATGTACATGTTTGCACTTACATACGTGTATGCACTCCTCAAGATGATTTTAAACTGCATATACTGCAAACAGATACTAATAGTAAGAAGATAAAAAGAAATTAAAATGCAGCATTCTTTACATGTTTTCAAGTTTTCCTATTTATAGCTCATAAAAACTTGATTTATATTCCGGAAGTCTCACATCTTATTTTTTTCTGTTCTGTACTTTAAAACTTGTAAAGCATTTATTTGAATCTGAACCTCAAATTTCATACAAGCACAGATGCTCTTTGACTCAAAATGGGTTTATGTCCTGATAAGCCAATTTTTAATTAAAAATATTACTGGTTGAAGATTACTGTAGTCCTGTACATTGTGGTTTATCCTAGTCTATCTTAGAGATGCTGAGAAAACACATTTGGGTAAAATCATGTAACACAAAGCCTATTTAATTATAAAGTGTTGAGTAGCTCATGTAATTCATTGAATACTATAAAATGAAAAACAAAATGGTTCTGTGTGTACAGTTTTTACCATTGTAAGGTTGAAAGTACAGTCAGACAATCATAAATTGGAAAGTGCCCATAGTACTATGACTTCTGAGTATTTTGGAATTAATAATTTAAGTCATATTTTAATTCTGATGTTCATGACTGAGGGCAGGACTATTCCAAAGTCTTAGTTTGGTCAATGGTAATGTCTTAGTCCCTTGACACTGCTATAACAAAGTACCTTAGACTGGATAATTTATAAACAACAAATGTTTACTGATCACAGTCTTGAAGGGACCAGGATGAAGGAGCCAGCAGATTGAATATCTGCTAAGACTTGACAGCATATTTGGTGCTTTCTGTATGTCATTACATGGCAGAAGGGGCAGCAAGCTCCCTTGGGTCTCTTCTACAAAGGCTCTAATGAAAAGGCCCTTAGTACCTCCAAAATATCCCAGCTCTTAATACTTTTCTGCTGGGGTTTAGGCATCAACATGTAGATTTGAGGAAGACACTTATCGACCAAATTACAAATTTGTAAACCAAGTATGTAAGTTCAAAGTCTGATTCTTCTGTAATTTTTTCTGTTTACAGAATGATTTTAATAGAATTTTCAGAATATATAATTTTTTATTTTAAAGAGACTTTCAAAACAGGAAAATAGAATAACAATAATTAATACATTGCCTAGTATTATCTTCATAGTAGTTACTCAAAGTGCAATATATCAGCATGAAATCTTACCCAAACAATATTAGCACAAACATTGATTTTCAATGAACTAAGAGAAACTAGCTGTATTACTATATTACCTATCTTTGTACATATATATTTTGTCCTTTTCCCTTCCTTCATCGTTTGTTTCCCTTGTCCGAGTTCCTCTTTCCTTTTGAACTGTTTCTTCCCAATTGACAATATCTAATGTACATTTTAAATCTTATTTAGTCATTCATGTCACACTAGTGAGACAATACAATGTTTACACATAAGGGTCTGATTTATTTCACATATGAATATGAGCTTGAGTTGTATCCATTTACCTATAAAAGCCTCAAGTTTATCTTTCCTTATGGTTTATTAGTATACCAGTGTGTAAGAGGACCACATCTTTTTTACCCATTCCTCAGTTGATGGACACTTAGGTTATTTCCAAGATCTAACTATTACAAATTGTGTTGCTATGAACATAGGTGAACATATATCACTGTGGTATGATGTTTTAATTCTTCTGGGAAGATACCCAGAAGGGGGATAGGTAGGTCGAATGGGACCTCTAATCCTAGTTTTTTGTGGAGTCTCCACATGGATTTCCACAGTCAACACTCCTACTAACAATGGAGAAGGGTTCCTTTTCCCTGCTGCTCTTTACAGCGGAATATATAATTTTATAAAATGTAATCTTTCACAAACTTACCTGTATCCTTTTTTCATAATTATGTAAACGAATTAACTCTGCCTAACAGCAACAAATAATTATTTCCCTAGGTTTTCTGTGAAGACCCTGATTGATCGGTCTTGCTTTGAGACAATTGATGATTCTTCTCCAGAATTTAACAACTTTGCAGCTATTTTGGAACAGATTCTAAGCCACCGGCTAAAAGGTAATAACATTAATGTGTGATTTGCTCTTCGCAAATCTTTCTTGTAGTAAGTTGGAAATTTTAGAAACCATACAACCTGGTATATCTAGATAGTGGCTATGATGCATCTTGAGAATTAGGATCTTGTGCCTGTCTCTCTAGAAAATAATTTCTGTTATCAGATTTACCCTTATGTCTGGAATTCGTTAAAAATGTTGAGAATATTTTGTTGCCATATATAAGAAAAAAGTCACTTTCCGTGAATAATTACAATAAATTTTAAAGTGTACAGTACCCTCCTCTCAAAGCTCATTTGATGGTATTTTAGTCAGGGTATAAGAAGCCTTCCAGGCATTAAGTTTGTTTGCTTACCATCTATGTTCTTAAATTAGGAAACTTTGAAATATTTTTAGCAGAAAGTAGATTAAAAGAGAAGTATATAAAAGAGATGTTTGACCTTGATTTTCTTAACTCAGTGAATATATTTATATTATAAATATAAATAATAAAATCTCTTAAAATTTAGACAGGAATGATGGAGCTACATTCTGAATTCCAACTTTTAAAATTAAAACTGTATTTCTCTAAAATATAATTCATGTAGAGCATGGTGTCACACACCCTTAATCCAAGCACTTGGGAGGCAAAGCAAGAGGATTACTATGAGTTTGAGGCCAGCCTGAGCTACATGGTGAGTTCAAGACCAGCCTGAACTACGTAGCGAGATTCTGCCTCAAAAACCAATAGCAAAAAATTGAAAATTAAATGTAGTCGATGAAAATCAGTGATTATATACTATAAATTTTTTAAGTCATTGCATTAATTCTATTGTAGTCTTCAAGAGAAAACTTGATCGTTGTATATTTTCATGTTTTTATATATTCAAAGTCTTAGAAAAGGTATAGTTTCAAATTAGTAATATTAACTGCTCTGATAATACACTTTAGGAGAATCTCTCAAGTGTAATAGGACAGTTGCTTATATTCTGTACTTGATGATGACATCATCAGGTTTCATGAAATATTCAAATCATTTGAGCAGCCCTGTGGATGAGAAGAAAGGGTTGAATTTACATGGAAAAAAATGAATTAAATTAGCATTTTGCAAATAAAATGGAGTCCCTAAAAATCTCTGCTACCTTTACTCTTAAAGTTAATTATTTTGTATCTGCAAAGCATTTTTCCTCAACTTGCTGGCCCTTGTTTCTTCACTTTTCTTCCATCAATACATTACTTTTGTAAGAAAATATATATGCTTTCCTAAGAGCAAAAGTATGAAAGCATTTTGAAATATTGTCAAAGTTACTGTGTTGTATGATGGTTATAATATTTTAAGTTTTTGTAAATAAATTTATATATACTAGCTGACAAAAACCACATGGACTACAGTAAATGCCCTTGTATCTTAATGTTAACAAGCATTTTTTAAAAATTTTATTTAAGAAGAAAAAAAAACAAAAAAAGGGTACAAGTTATACAGAATTTCAGAAAAAATAAACAGTAGAAAATCACTAGTTAATTACATATTGTCATCTTAGGAATAGTTGTTGAAGTTACAAAATTAAAGCATACAGAGGAGACCTTCAAACAGTGAGACTGCAAACAGTTTTGTTCAATGATCCAACCATCCTACACACCCAAACATACATGCAGTTATATCCCCAGAGAACTCTCCCCTCCCTTCTTCCATACAATGACAATTAAACATCTTGGGTTTCACTGCTCCCACAGTTCTTATTACTTTTTTTTTTTTTGAAGAAAGTAAAGCCAAATGTGACATACCAGGATAGAGTCAGTCAAATCAAAACGATGGACATAATACATAATGTAAAAACAAAATACAAGGTGATCAGCAATGGTTACCATAATGCTTCTTGTTATCTTAAAAAGAATTGCCTACAAAACAGTAAAGAATAAGACCAATAGAACCAAAACATTGGAGACATTAGAGGACTTCAAAAGAAGATAATAGTCAACCAAATGGGCATCACAATGAATCTTATTGTCTTCATAGTTGTTGCCTATACTTTCAAACTTGGTACTATCAAGGATAACAGAATAGAAGAAAATCAGTCAAAACAAGATGGTGAGAGCAATACAGAGTTTCAAATCAAGTTAATAGGAAATCAAAGTGGGTTACTATAATATATCCTGCTATTTTTATTTATTTTCCCTTAATTAAAAGGATAAAAATGAAAAAGTAGATAATAAAAAGGAGATTGAGATAAAAAAAAAAAGAGGGTATAACAACAAAACAGCGCAGGTCAAAACATAGCCATTTAAGCAAAATAGTATTTCACCACAAGATAATCTCGACATAATAGTAGTTACCATAGTGTCTCTTCCCTTAAAATTGGTTATAACTTCATATACTGTAGCATCAAACATATCAAGACAATGTAAAACCGTTCAAGAGAATGACAGTATTACAAGCCATTTAGAATCAACTAACAGAAAATGAACAATGGTTTCTGTATAATCTCCTTGTCTATAAAAGTTTTTGTTTATATTATCACATATAATAAAATCCAATAAGATACAACACATTAAAACCAATGGAGACAGAAGAACAAAAGCTGGATGGGACTTCAAAACAAGAGGATATTAAATCAGCACTACCTATTATGATGTCTTGTTTTCTCCAGAATGGCTGTTCTTACCATCCAACCTTCTCTGCCTCATTTCTGTTGAGCTCTTTTTCTGTCATTAGTTGTCAGTTTGTCCTCTTCCTTTCGCTTTCTGCTCCATTCATTGTGGCCTCTCTGCCACTGTTTCTGGAATCTTGGTATTTTTCATTTTTAGAATATCCTGCAGTAATCTCTGTAGAGTTGAATTGGTGGTTGCAAATTCCCCTAGTTCCTCTTTATCCTGGAAGCACCTTGTTTTTCCATCAATTTCTAGGGACAGTTGTGTAGGATATATCAATCTTGGCTGGAGGTTATTATCTTTCAAAGCTTGAATTATTTCCCCCCATGCTTTTCGTGATTTGATGATTTGTGCTGAGAAGTCTGCTGTGATTCTGATGGGTGTTCCCTTGTAAGTGATCTGTTTCTTGTTTTTGATGGCTTTTAATATTCTGTTCTTATATTGGATTTCTGGAATTTTGATTATTATATGCTTGGGTGTAGCTCTGTTTGGGTTGTAGGTGGCTGGGGTCCTGTATGCCTTATACATCTGAGTATCTTTACCTTTTGCTAAATTAGGGAAATTCTCCTGGATTATTTCTGTGAATAGCTTTTGTAGTTCATTTGTTTGAGTCCCTACTTCTTCTTTTATGTTCTTAATTCTTAAGTTATAGATCCTCTTATCATCTTCTATCTTTGTATTATTGCTATTTGTTTTCTTGTTATTTTTAAGAAGTTTTTCATTTCATACTCCCACCTTACAAATCTGTCCTCCAGTTCTGATAATCTATCCTTAGTTTCTTTCAAGCTGTTATGCCAGCTTTCAATAGAGTGTTTAGTTTCCTGGTAATCTCTTTGAACCTGCTTCACGTATTTTATGTTTTCTCTATTTTCTCCATCAAACAATTCTCCCCTTTTTTTTCTGTTCTTCCATTCCACCACCTGTTTTTTCTTGGGCGGTGCTTAGCATTTCTCTAGCTATTCTACTTATTTCTTGCTTTATTTCATTAAATACTTCATTTTTGAACTCGTCTATGAGGCTCTGGAGATACCGCTTTATGTCTATTGGTGCCGTGTGTATATTGCATGTTTTCTGTCTTCATTTTCTTTTGCATTTACCTTTCTGGATCAGTGTTCTCAGGATTGGGGACTGAGGACCCTTTCTTGTTCCTTCCTCTTCCCATACTTTTTGTTCCTTCCATGTAAGCGTATGTAGGAGGCCCAGGTTTTTTTTTCTCTTTGTCTGTTACAGTTGTTTGAATCTGCCGGCTAGGTGTTCCCGCCCACTGCAGTGTACTAGGGAGACACAGAACTGGGCAGCCTCTGCTGGGCCTGCCCCTCCAGGTCAACCTACTGAATGCTTCAATGCTAGGGTGCACCACCAGGTGCAGGGACCTGATTTGGGCTAGCCTACTGGATCTTAGTCCGCGGCGTCACCAGGCCAAGCGCTCCCCGCCACTCCCGCTTGAGAGGGGAGTATGTGACTAAAGTCACTGCAGGGCCCTGTTCCGGCTAGTCTTCTTGTTCCCAGAATGTCCTCTGTTGGAGCCTCCTAGTCTATGAAAGGGTCCCCATTTCTCTCACTCACCGCAGATCAATGCACGGCTCCCTGCCAGTCCCCGCTCTCAATGACGTTTGGTTCGCCGATTCCAGCTCTCAGAGCTTTCGCACATCTCTCTCCCTGCCCTGCGGATTGGGATGCAGTATCGGCAGCAGGAAATTCAAATCGCAGCTTCCAATGGCGCGGGATCCAGCTTCTGCACTGAGATTTTATCTGTTCCTGTTATAGCATCAGGATTGCATTTCCAGTTGGTTTCTCTCAGCTTAGTTCGTTCCTGGGTCGGCAGGGTACATCTGCCCTCGAGTAGGACTCCTCACACGGCACCGCTCCTGGATTCTAAACTGGTAATGTCAGAGAGCCTCTGTGGCTGCTGTTATTTGTCCCCCATGTTCTCCCGGAAGTTCACAAGCATTTTGTCTTAAGAAAGTTACCTTGCTTGATATACCACTTAGCCTTGTCCAAAATGCATTTTAAAAAACTATGAATAGAAAAAAAATAATGATGCTGCAATTCCCACACTGAGAGATCAGCCAGAACTGCTGTAGTGAGAGTGGACTCCAGGACACCCTGGACTGCCATCTTCTGTTATGCCTTAGCAAAATACAGGTTGTGAATCTTTAGAATTAATTCTAAACAATCCAGTCTATTAATGTTACTTCTGAGGCATATTAGATAAAAATATAGTTCCTAGTTGAGTTATACAGAAGATATCTACTAGTGTGACTAGTAAAAAAGCAGATGCAGTAAGGTTTGTGTTAATTTTTTAAACTAGATCAATAATTCAAAAATTGATTTTTAAAAAAGTTTCTGTAAATTAATTTTGTGGTCATTGTGATT